TGTGCTAGTGCAGCGCTGGGGGCAGCTGCTGCCACGGAGGGGCCAGTCGTCTCTTTACAGGCCAGTGTGATAAGTGTTGCAACAGTAGTAAGTGAAAGTCATTATCGGTGCACAGCGGAAGACTCAGCATCTGCTAATCCGTTTTCTTTCCTTTATTAGTGATTTCACAACCTTGTATACAGTTTTGATTTATACATCATATTTAATATAATTTGCTGCTACAAGTCTTTTAGCAGAGTGTTAGGTACATGAGTAGGTTTGTGGAGGATCAAGTATGCTAACCAATCTGCATGGAAGTAACAGAAAATGCACTACTTCTTTATTGTGTGGATATCCTTTTTTTCTTATTTGTTTACACATTCATTTTTATTTTTAGGAAAAACGAATTCTTTCAGCAACTGATGAAATAAAGGAAACCTGGTATTAACTCTTGTTTTATGAATACTAGTTCATTTCTTCATCTGTAAATTCATCTTGCACAAATGGATGGTCTGGTGAACAGATTATCCACTCACGAGTAGATTGTATTTGTGTCTGGCTCTACAGGGTCAAGTTATTGTACCTTGGCAAGGCTAACTGGAAAAAGCAACAGCAAGTTGCTTTGTTCTTCTTGCCTCTAAATCTGTAGTGAAGAGTGGCTACAATACAGACCCTGCTAAAATTCTCACAGAAATCTACTCATTACTGATGGATTCTGCACTTTGGGGAGCTCCGGAGAAAGCATCATCTCTTCTTGTTTTCTTGTCTTGTAACTTTGTAGCAAGGGAAATCAATGATTGTCAACATCTGCTTTGTTTACTTAAGTATTAGAAACTTATCCCTTCCTACTGTGACTACTGAAGTCTTGCAATTGTTAATTTCAAGTGGCCAAAAGAAAGAGAAAGAAGATACTTTCCATCTTTGGTTCTCATGTGGTATTTGTCTATAGTGATCATTTTCAGTCTGTCTTCTAGCTCTCTGCTGCTGTTTGTCAGTTGATGCTATCACAAAAAAGGATAGGGTACATTCAGAGCTAGATTTCCACCAGGTCCTGGCACTAACATGATTTCATCTGACTGAAACCTAGCAATCTAGGTAGTAATAGGAATTTGCTTACAACTACTTTGCAACTCCCCCAAACTCCCACTCCTCACCCCTCAGTCCTCCTTATTTGTTTGCTGTGATTGGCTTTCAGGTATTCAATGGTAATTTTTAAAAGAAGATAACATTATGAATGCTTTGCTTCCACCTCAGCAAAGTGGAAAGTTAGGAGCTGGAAGCAATACACTGGCCGATCCTGATTTTCGTATGATTAATCTAAATCAATTGAGAAACCAAATATGTTACTGTTTAGAAATTGTTTTCCATTTTGCTCTTCAAAAACTCATTTGAAAGCCACAGTTTTCATTTCCTTACATTGACTCAGGTCTTCACAATGAGACCTAGCTATTTGGAACTTTTGGCATCTTTTACTACAATGTAAAATTTAGTAAGGCCAAAGTGCCTAAAAAACAGAAATTCATTCTTCCTTTATGGACTTCAATGACAAGAGAATTAGCACTAGATCCTTTTCCCTTGACGTCAATTAACGTATTTTAAAATCTATTTCTCTGCATAAGCACTTTTCATCATGGACATTGTGACCATCTTAACTGAAAAACATCACCCTTACAATAAGAAACCTTATTGGTATATCAATTATCAACTACCAACATTAATATGAAAATTGTGATTAGATAATCTAAACAGCAAAATAATTAATTCGCCCATTCAACAAAATTCATTGAGCAGCTATTACACTCCAACACTATTCTAGTTGCTGGAAATAGAACAGCAAACAAAACAGACAATAATTCATGTCCTTGGGAGTTTATATTCTAGTTGGGAAGTATAAACAATTAACAAGGAAAAACATAAAATTTATAGTATCCTAGATGGTAACAGGTATTAAGGGGAAAAATAAAGCAGGGAATGGGACTAGAAATCATGTCTGAAAGTGGGCAGTAATTGATATAGTGGCTGGGGAATGAAGCATCAATAAGGTGATATTTGAGAAAACATTGGAAGGAGGTGAAGAAATGAGACAGGAGGGTAACTAAGAGATGAACATTCCAGAAGGAGGGAACAGCAAATGCAAAGTCCTTAATTAGGGGCATTCCAATCATGCTCCAGGAACAGCAGAGGCCAGTTGGCTGCAGCAGAATGAGCCAGGGCACAAATTGAGGAAAGAAGACTAAGGCAGCCCAGGAGGGGGGTAGATCCCCTGGGGCCTGGTAAGCCATTTTTAGAATTTTGGTTTTTGGTCCAACTGTGATGGGAAGGCTTCAGAAGGTTTTGAGCAAAGGCAAGATTTGTTCTGACCGAGGTTTAAGGGGATCATTCTGGCGGCTGTGCAGAGACTAGAATGAAGGGGGAGGGGAGCAAGGGCAGAAGCAGGAGAACACGAAGGAGGCAAGAGATGATAATCCAAATGGAATTTCTGTGTAACTTTGGAAGGATTACTGTTTTAAGGAGGTCTGAACTTTAGAACTGGCAGTATTTGATTAAATAAGAGAAATATTTTAATTAGTACAAGATACAGATCAAGGAACAGGACAAACATAAATTAAGCAGTGTTTACTTAAAAAAGTATGCATTTAGTGTGTAATAAGACATCAATATTAAAACTTGGTTATGTTTTCTTTCTTGTATCACACAATTATCATAACCATTTACAATTATTGGTAAATGAGATAAATACTGTAACTATGTAGCCTCATTACTTGAATATTTAAAAAATAATTTTCTTCTCCAGAGTTGTAAAATTTTATACTCTTTATTTATTGTTTTAATTTTACTTTTCTGTTTCATTTTTAGATTCATGGAAAAATATTAAATTATTGCATTATAACTTGGAACCAGATTGCTAAATATTTAAGATATATTAAAAATCTTTAGCCTAGACCAAACTAATTTTTTTCAATTTTATAGCTCAATTATTAATATTTAGACACCTTATTTCTTTCCTTTGTATAGTTTTAGGTATTATCCTTTCTCATATCACTACATTTTACACAATATTTGCTTTTTATGGCTGGGAATCAAAATATGTACAAATGTCAATTTTGTTATAAAAAGAGTTAAAAATTGTGAACACTTTGAGAACTTTGGTAAAAGTTCACTTCCTTGCAGAACAGCATTCGCCAGTTCAGGAAATAAGGGAATTAGGATTATGTATGACAATGGACAAGGTAATTAACTAATTAACAGCAGCCTCTGGGAGCAAGCAACAACTCCTTTAAATCTTAAAATCTCCGTATCTCCAAGTTATCTTTTATCTCCCAGCTGTGAAATTTTGAGTCCATGACGTAACGCTAACGATGAACAAATCTGCAATAAAATTGCAAAATTTTTAGGGTCACAGCCTTAAAACAAAAGCCAGTAACTTGGAATAGACGGTTCAAAAGCCGCCTGTTTTTGGTCTGCCTCTAAATCTGCAATTGCACAGCTTATTAAAGACAGTTTAAGACTGGAAGGCAGGCCCAGGTGTTGTTAGAGCAATCCGCAATTTATCTATTTTAAATGTAATGCAAAATTATGTTTTCTCGTATTTACTGTATACAGCGACATACTTGCTAACAAGTAGGACGTATTCCGGAACTGTGGAGCGGTTTTCCAGAGAGCCATTTACGGAGCATACTCATATGCCACTAACTGGCCAGATCTTTAAGCCTATGCAAGCAGAGCACACACGACCTCTCCTTTTCCTTTTCCCTTTGCGATGCGAACAGGCTAGACGTGTTCATGTGATGTGAGTGACGTCAGCCCTCATCAGGTCGCGTGACCAACGGCTAACCTTCCCACTACCCCGCCCCCGCCGCCGGAGCAGGAAATCTCGCGAGAACCCATCTTACTATCAGAACTTACCGAGGTTGGAGGGGAGTTGCTCGGAAGGGAAGGTGTGACTGAGCGGCGGCGTTTTTGCTTTGATGCTCTAAGCTCTCTGGGCCGCGGCAGAGGCCTTTGGGGATTGCCAGAGTCTGGGCAAGCCAGCCCGGTGCACGGCGGGGGCGGTGGAGAGCGGGTGGCAGTCATATCAGAAGTGAAACGTGGCGTACGGCGGGCGTCGCCCCTCCTAAAGGGGCTGCGAGGGAGGGAGAGACCCGCGCCGGGCGGGGCGGGCGCGGCTGGGACCCCTCTCTGGAAGCAGGCAGGTGCCCACATCCGGCCTCCGCTGTGCCGACGCCGAGCCGCCCCGAGGGGAAGGGCTTGCGCCCCTCGCCCTGCCACCCGGCCACGGCGGCGCGGGAGCCGGCGTGGAGTGGTCCCTGGTGCCCGGGGCCCGCAGCAGGGCCGGGGGCTTCCGCGACCCCCGGCGGCAGCCCCGGGCAGTGCACGAGCTCCCCGCATCTTCCCGCCAAGTCAGCCCCCGATTGGGGCAGGAGCCTCCTTGCGGGTGGAACTGGGTGATCTGGCCGTCTCGCCTCATTCACCTAAATCCTCTCCGGGCTGCTCCCCCGCACATCCTCTACCACCCACCTGGTCTCTCCCTAGACGGGTGTGCTCCAGTGAGACCCGGGCGTGGGGGAGGGAGGCGGGAGAGCCGCGAAGGGACGCGGCTGGAGTCGCTAGAGGGAGGTGTGGGACCAGCGAGGAGGGGGCTCGGCGCGGGCGCGGGGGCGGCGCCGCGGAGGAGGCGGAGGCCGGGGGCGCCGACGAGGCTTCGCCCGAGCCGGGCGCGCTTTCCCTGGCCGCGCGGGCTCGCAGCGGCGCGGGCTCGTGGGGAGCGCGAGGCCGTCGCGGCGCCCGCGGGAGGGAGGCCGGCCCCGGCGCGCACGCTCGGCCGAGCCCTGGCGCGCCCCGCGCCCGCGCCCGCTGACAGCTGCCGCCGGGCTCGCGCCGTCCGCCGCCGGCTGCGCGGCCTCCGCCCCCGGCGCCCCTCCGCCCGCCCCCTGCCCCGGCGCGGCGCGTTTCGCAACTGCTCGCCCGATCCCGGCCGGGTTCCGAGCCCCGGCGCCTCTCCGTGAGCACTTGCCCCCACATTGGGGCAGAGGGGCTGGACAGGGGCGGCGGAGCGTGCGGAGGAGGAGAAGGAAGCGAGGCCCCGAGGAGGAGGAGGAGGAGGAGGAGGAGGAGGAGGACGGGCGCGCCGCGGGGAGGAGACCCCACGCCGCCCTCTCTGGTCAGCTCCCGGCCCGCCCCGCCCCGCCCCTGCGCACACGCCCTCGCGGGCGAGCCACTTTCGGCCGGGAAAGTGCGGGCGGCCCTGGGTGACAGCGCCGCGGGGCCAGTCCCGGGGAAGCCGCGCGCCCGCTCGCGTCTCCTCCGCCGCGTGCCCGGCCGGGGGCACAGCCCGCACCGAGATGGCCTCGACTACAACGTGCACCAGGTTCACGGACGAGTATCAGCTGTTCGAGGAGCTCGGAAAGTAAGCGCCTTTGCGGGGCCCCCGCACGGCCCCTTTCCAGCAGAGGGCGGGTCGCGTTCCCCCCGACCCGCCGGCCTCCCGCGTGGGGCGAGGGAGTTTGGGAGAGCAGGGGAGAGGGAGGAGGGCCCCTGGTGGGTCGGCTCGGAGGAGGGTGCTGTCAGAGTAAGGAGAGGGGACCGGGAAGGGGAACGACCCTCCACCACGGCTGTGGTCCGCTCCGATAATCCTCAGCCCACCTTCTCTCGCTCCCCCACCCTCTTGCCCTAGAGACTTAGTGGATTTACGAGCCCTGCAGTTGTAGCTGTCATCCTGAGAAGTGTGCGAGCGTGTGTGTGTGTGGAGAGGAAACAAGAACCCATGTAAAATGCAACATAGATCATGTTTTCTGTAAATAGAGATGCCTCCTGGTTAGCCGGCGTGTCGGCGGCGGGACCCGCGTACAGCTGAGAACTTGCTGCCACAGACGGTGCCATATTTATTGATGCCGAAAGTTCAACTTGGCTTAGAGTCTATTTCGCATCCAGTAGTTGTTCTGTCCAGGAAAAGGGCCGCCCAAAGGAACCCGACCCCCTACCCCATGTCCACTGTCATTCTTTGCATTAGATTACTCGCTCATCATCCTTCCTAGGATTTACGCGTGCATCTTCGCATTCTCCCGGAGGATTTATTTATACAGGCAACGGAAAAGCCCTTTGGAGACCGGGAGCGAGCTTCCCAAGGGTAGCCTAGCTTTGTAAAAAACGACCTCCTACACCCGACTGGCAGAACTACTTGGAGATGTTAAGGAAGGGGACAGGAGACCTACTGAGGACCTGTGCAAAGGGACCTAGGGACCGAGCCGTGAAGGTTGATTTATGGAGCATCAAACCCAGTTCCTCTATCGCTAGTTTCGACTATTGCTTATGAAAGGGGTGGGTTTTATGTGTATGTTGTTGTTTTATATAGTTAAATGAAAGGAAATGTAAGGAAAATTTTATCCTTATATGTTGCCTGCTGTTAAAACATGGAGAATATGTCGGAAGAGCAGCTTAATTCAAATCTCTCCCCTCCCCCAGCCCAAGAAAGGGCACGGAGAAATCACCAAACCAGGATTTGTTAAGCCACACAAATGTGCCCAAGATTTCTATTTTAATGAAAACAATGGCTCTATGTATTTACCTGGAGCCAAATTATTTTTTTTCCTTGCCAAAATAACTGGGCAGCTGATTTTTTGCTGCTCTTCCTCAGCTCTGCTCTTTGCAGGGTTTTTTTCTCAGAGCGTTGGGTGCTGTGTGAGTGTGAATTGTAAAATGTTTTCAAATTTCGTTTGCAAACAAGAGCCGTCGTAATTGGCAGTTCCTTTCATTTTGTCGATTAATAATGTGTGCTCCCAGTTAAATAAAATGTACTTTTATTCTTCAACGTTAAAGGAGGTCTGGGTTTCCAGGAAGTATTCTTCATTTTCTGGATATTACTGTAGTGCACTGCTATCTCACAATTCACTGAATTCAGAAAAATGCTCAGATTGTTGTAATTTTTTAACAGAATATCAGAACTGATTATATTGATGACCTGCTAATTATTGGTTTTCAGGGGGGCATTCTCAGTGGTGAGAAGATGTATGAAAATCCCTACTGGACAAGAATATGCTGCCAAAATTATCAACACCAAAAAGCTTTCTGCTAGGGGTGGGTATTTCCAACCACATATATGTTAATTTTGTATTTGTCGTGTTGAGTGTTGGTCTTTTTGTCTGTAAATATGTCATTTAGTTATAATTGTAGACTTAGGTATCATATTACATATTGAGATTATTTCCTTCGAGAATGCCTCTTGCTCTGTACAGTTTAAAAATAAATGAGCAAATATAATTGTTATCATTTAATAAATTGTTACTAAAATTCTGTCTGTCCTATGAGCAGTACCATAAATAACTATATTTTACAGCAAATAAATGTCACTAAGTGCATTTTGCCTTTGGCTCTACTGTGAAATAACTTTCAGAAAAACCCTGGAATGGAAAAATGTAAGTCTCACAACAGTCATTATTCCCTTTAGCTTTCGAGAGGAAAAATAGGTCATAGCTCCGTTGAATCATATATTTCAATTGTAGTTACACTTGAGCTTAGTTCATCAAGGTATATTTAACAGTAACGGCTTTGCGAGGAACATTGTATGCTGCTATATTCTAGGAAGTTCAGCTTGGTTTTGCTGTTTTCTGTGTGCAGTTCAGATCTTCACTTCATCTTCTGCAGTAAGGCTTCTCACAGACTCCTGTAATGTATTTCACACATGCTTTAGAACCACAAAGATAACTCATACTCATAAAATAGCTGTTGACATAAGCAAAAAACTTGGAGGGACCTCACTGCATTCTTTTAATTTTGTTGATCATGCAAAAGTACTTATGCTGAAATGTTAGGCATTTCAATTATTGTGAGCACGTGTCTAAGGTATTTCCATGGGAATTTATGGTTTGATGAAATAAAAATGAAATTAAAATGAACAAAACGCTGTGGTGTAAGCCCATTTCAGTGACCTGGTTTATTTTAACTAATGAGAGAAGAAATTCCATTAGGATTAGTTTTCCTCATTTAATTTGTCTTCTAAAATGTGCTGCTTCCTGTTATCCTGGGATCGTTGCGTTTGGTCTCGGCCATGATTTTTTTCACCATTTGTTGCAAATTCTACTTTTAACACGTACATTAGGTTTAGGTTGTCATTTCAGTTGACTCGTTTGCATGGGATTTTGTGATTTTCTTCATCCGATTTTACTGTGATTTTGAGTAAGATCTATATGCTGAAGTAACCAGCACAGTAGATTCATGGCATGGAAACTAATGGGAGGTGTGACATGCTTGGTTATGTCCCTCTTCCCCCTTCCCTCTACTCCACAGTAGAGTTTTTAACAGTGAAAAGGAGTTGCTAAAGTGTAAATGACGTTTTAGTGTGAAAAAAAAAGAATAATGAAAAAGTGAAGTCAAATTCTTTCAGTGCCTGTGTGACTTCTTCCTGTGTGCTAGGTACTTTTGGCAAGAGTAGAGTATCGGTTCTTTTGGAGGCGTTACAACACCCATCCCGAACTTTCAGTGGCTTTAAATTTTCTCTCAAAATGAATCAGTCTTGTGCTTCACTTTTACTAATTTCCGTAGTCAGTGTCACCCCTTTTCATCCACTTTAGTTCATACTCCCTGCATCAGAATGGCAAATACACTTGTCTCTGCTCACGTACGTTTTATTTGACTTTCTTCTGCCTCTAATCTATGGAAGATAAGTCTTCTCTAGCCTGATGGAATTCCTCGTCATGTGCTCATACTCTGCTTTAAAGAACAATCTCTACCCAGGGGCACCTGACCTCTCCTGGACCTCATGATTCTAATGATTCCACTTACTCCGAGGAAGAGCGGTTGGGGTGCTGAACTAGACCTGCTCCTGTCCTCCTCTGCGGTTTTCTTTCCCTGTGACTTTGGGCAAGTTTCTTAACCTGCTTGGACGTTAGCTTGCTGAAGAATGGAGTAGAGGCTGATGAAGTAGGTGCTGGAACTAGGTGCCCTGGGTTTACATTCTGATTCTCTGCCTATTAGCTGTGGGATCGTGAGCAGTTTACATATTTTCCTTGTGTCTCAGGTTTCTCATCTGTAAAATCTGGTGGGAATATAACCCTTCCTTTTATAGGGTGTTTTGAGGAGTGAGTGAGTTACTAGAGTATAGAACACTGCCTGCTCCCTAATAAGCATTCAGTGATGACTAGCTGCTGCTATGATCTCATTGGCTGTTATAAGGATGGGTCACGTAAGATTACCTTATATGAAAGAACTTTAAAATTACAAATTCAGTGGCAGCCTTGATTTAGCTGTGAGAGCCCAGTTTGAATCTTGGCTCTACTATTTAGTGTGTAAATTTGGTTTAGTCACTTACCTTTTCTTGGTCTCAGGTTGTTCTTCAATAAAATGGGAAATAAAATTCCCCATAGGGTATCATGGGTTGTTTTGAGGATTTGGTGAATTTTATGAGAATCACTTCTTAAGTTGTACAGTGCTGTGTCAATTTTACCTATTATCGCTGCTCACTTGTGAAATATTACAGTACTTTTCCTTCAGAATGCTCTTTATTTTATAGTCTCATCAATTAGAGCTGTTTAGAGAATATTTGCACTTTGTATACATTTGTTTAACCTGTAAATTATAAACTTAAAAATACCATGCTTTCATTTTCTAATATAACATTCCGTAGCAATAAGGACATAGGAGGGGCTCAGTACAGAGTGACTAGGAGCAAATGTGGCTATTAAATGGTTTGTAAAGGAGTTAGATACCTACTTTATTCCTAAGAACAAGCCAACACTAGATATCAAGAAATCTGGAGTGTATTGAGTGCACACTTTAAAATATGAATTCTCCTTTAAAAGCACTCCCTTCTCAGAATATAATGATCCTAAAAAAACTACTTTTGCAGAAGAATTAAAAAAATATATTTAAAGGGAAATGTAGAATGAAATGCAAAGTAGCGTGCTTATTTTTTCTAAGAGAGTGATTTTATTTTTGGCTGCATATGACAGTTTTTGTGGACATGTAGTTTTTTATGCAAATTTTTTTTTGTGTTATTTGAAATGCTATGCCTTTGTAAATCCAAGCTTTAAGCCTTTTTGTTTTAATGAACCGGCAGGTCCTCCAACTCAAATGATGTTCTTTAAATGTAACATTACAACTGAAAAAGAAAGGCCATTGTCAATAAATCTAAGACCATGAGGGATTTGCCAAAAATTTGGCTACATTCCTGCACAAATTTGCACATGCAGCTACACTGTCACCCAGGCGTTTTTCTGTGCCTGGATTTTAATGGATTTCCAGCACACAGTTTCACTTGCATTTCCTCTCAGCTGTTAGTCACACACACCATATTTGGGAGACTCAGAGTCTGTTGAAGAATTTCTTTCCTTTTGCGTTAACACGTGCATTCACAGAGCATTCATTATGTGTTACTGATCAGATAGATACATATACTCATCACATGTAATTTGGCTTGTTTTTAAAATAAAAAGTAGTGTAGAAACATCTCAGACATCTGATATTTTATATGTAATTTCTGTTCTAAAAAGTTTTTGATAGGAGTAAGAGGCACGCTTAGTAAATGGTGAATAGTGAGAACAGAATTTTATCTCATATTTTTGTCACGAGAATTAGAAATTATTATACCATTTTGATCCCAAACACAGGGTAGAACTTAACCAATGCTAATTTGCTCTGCTGTTTTGATATTTTGTTTGTTTGGCATATTTATAACTGTAAGTTATTGTCAGATTATGTAAAGTCCATGAAGGGCTGTGACTGTGGTTCAGAAGGCAGTGGACTGATGGTTCTGATGGCAGATGTCTTCGGAAATCATACCTGTGGTTTATTTTGCGTTTTAAAGCCTCCCTGTGGTAAAAGATTTTTATAGTAGTGGTGACTTCTTGATGTTCATCTTCCAGTGGTCTTTTGTTGTTGTTGTTGTTGTTCTTGAGGAAGGTTCACCCTGAGCTAACACCTGTGCCAAGTTTCCTCTGTTTTGTATGTGGGTCGCCATCACAGCATGGCTGCCGGCCAGTGGTGTAGGTCTGTGCTCAACATTTGAACCTGTGAACCCAGACTGCCCCAGCAGAGTGCGCTGAACCCAATCACTTTGCCACGGGGCCGACCCCCCAGTGTGTTTTTTGATTATTAGAAACCACTTATTGTCACATAGAGTCTGATATGCCACAAGTCATTGTTTTAATAAAATATGATAAATTACAGTAGAAACTTGAAATAATATATGCTACTACATGTATGTTTTACCTGTGCTCCATTGCTAAAATTAAAAAGAGGTTACATTTTATATTTCTGTAAAACTTTAGGTACAGTGCTGTAAAATCATTTTGGTATTCTTTGGTTTTACTAGTTTTGTTAATTCCTAAATTGATGATATTAGTTGAACATGAATCAGGACTTTATAAAATACTTGGACATGTGCACAAAATTAGGTCTCAGCTATGAAATCTGAATGTTGCCTGTATGCCCCTCAGTAGTCTTTTTTATGCTGTAATGAGATGTCAATAACTAACTCGTGCTACTTTTTTTCTTTTGTTGGCATCCAGACAGTCAAGAAATTACCTCATTTCTCAGCCTCGTGGTTACTTGTCTTGAGTTGGACATAGAACTGAGACAATACAGATGAATCAAGTTGTTCTGATTGTACATTATTGATTTGGCAATTTGGAACTAATTGGGCAAATTGATAGTAATTTTTGAAAGTTTCTTGGCTAGAACAGGATTTTAAGAAAAAACTAGTAGATAGTTTTTATTTTTGTACATGGACTCTCCACAACTCTCCGATTATTAGACCCCAAAGTGGCATGTATGATCCTTATCATTTTGTGTCCTTTAGTTATGTTCAGTTGTATTTATATTCTTACCTAGGCCTTAACAGTAGACATCTCCTTTCCTCTTTTGGTGAATGAGAATTTTAGTGATGTTCAAAACTAATTAGGAGATAAAAATGAAAGTAAAAAATAAAAATGTATATCTACTTCCCAGGAAACAATAAAAATCCTTTCTGTATTCCAGCATCATTAAATAAAGCAAACTCAATAAAGAATGTGGTTGTCAGGAACCTCGCTGTGATTAGTAACCAGTGTCCACCTCTTCCTGACTCATCTCAGGACAGGATC